ATAAAATATTTTTAATATTATTTTTTTTAAATAATTATTTGTGAAAGAAATATTTAATTTTTTTAATAAATACTAAAATATATTATTTTTTTATATTTAGTGAATTTTTAAATAACTTTTATGCAAAATTTATGGTAGCATTTGGTAGAGTTTTCTAAATATGATTTGAGAATATAGTTGTATTCTGAGTTTGTGAATTTTAGAATTATAATTGAAGTATAGAAAATTTGTTTGGTTATAAGTTTTGAATTGAGTGTTCAATAGAGTTTTAAATATTTGATGTGACATGTGAAATAAGAAAATTTGTTTGGTTATGAGTTTTGAAAAGAGTTTTCAAAACTTAATTCAAAAAGTTATAACTCAAAACCAAACACATAACTCAAAACTCTATTGAAATTTCTGATCAACACTCATAATCAAATTCTTTTTAAAATTCAATTCAAAAAATTAATTATTAACAAAAAATAACACTCATAACCAAATTCTTTTTAAAATTCAATTTAAAAAATTAATTATTAACAGAAAATAACATTAAAAAAAATTTAATCGAAAATAACTCAAAAAGTTATAACTCATAAACAAACACACAACTCAAAACTTTATTGAAAATTATATTCAAAATTTATAACCAAACTCTTTTTAACATTCAAATAAAAAAAAATGTCATTTTGGTTTAAAAATAATAATTTTTATATTTAAAAAATATCAAAAATAAATATAAATTTTTTTCCCCAAGTGGCAATTAGCGATTGGTAATTCCAAAAAAAAATAATAGTAATAATAATATTACACTGTTCTGGTCAACCAGCCAGACGTCCAAGAGGATGACCGAGTAGACCTAAAATTCAAAAATCTTGTGTTTTTCAGAATGGAGAACACAAGAGAGAGAGAGAGTAGCCAAACGTAAAGTAGAATTACATTTTAAAATGTGTGGTGGAATCACATTTTAAAATGTGTGCTGGAATCACATTTTGAAAACTCTATCCAAACATGAAATGCAAATGGAGGAGTGGAATTATATTTCCAGAACACAACCAAACAGGCCTATATTTTTTTAAAGTGTGTTTACATTAAGTGGACTTAAAATGCATAAAGATAATAATTATTGTAAGATTAATATATATATATATATTAATTTTATATATTAATACTATATATAATATTATTAATTTGATAGTATATAAATAAATATTTTTTATTTTATATTTTCAATCTAATATCACAACATTAATAATCCCTTCACTCAACCTATTCAATCTCACTGTAGTAATAATCCTCACTCAAACAAAATGGGCCTAATAGTTTTTTTTTTTAGGAAAAGTAAGACTTGTTAGTTATTTTCTCAAATATTTTGGATAAATTATATTTGCCCATTTTATGTTTGGCCATTTTCTCGTTTTGGCACTTTATATTTTAATTTTTTTTTTCAATTTACTCCTAAAACTAACGTTTGTTTAAAATTAAATAAAAAATGTCACATTAATTGTCACATAAGATGAAAAATATATTATTATATTAGAGTTTAGATTTATGTAAAATGTGTGAGTTATACATAATAAAATATTTTTATGCCATGTGATTGTCAATGTATTATTTTTTGTCTAATTTTGAACACAAGTTAGTTTTTTTGAGTAAATTAAAAGGAAAAAAAAAATCGAAATATGAAGGGTTAAAGTAAAAAAATAAAAAAT